GCCATGAATAATATTCTTAGGTCTTAATTGGAGTCTTAATAGAAGAACTGTTGCTTGTGTCCTGCAAGATTTCACAACTGCTATGCAATAGTGAGTCTGCAAGTTTCTCCTACTTCCCTGTTGAACATAAGGCATCACTGCTATGATAACAGAGCAGTTATCCTGTGCCTGTCCCACATTGTTTGTTGGGAGTGTAGGGGATGTTAGTGGTGGAGCAGGCTGAACAAAGGTTAGCTGCAGGGTGGGCTGAACACCCTCACCCGCCCTCACCGCCTGGTTCCTTATTGTTTGTTTGCCTCAAGTCTGAACACTCAACCCCCACCCATCTGGTACAACAGAAACCCACATCTGGCCCCTGCCCGATTTGCCTGAGGGCAGAAGATGACACCCTTACTGTACCCAGCAAGGCAGCTTGCAGACCCAGAGACCCCATTATATTTTGGCTCTCCTGAGTTTGTGGTTTTTCATCCTTAATTTCCCAAGACACAGGCCAGGAAATTGCTGTTCTCCCACAGAGCATCAGTCTTTATAGGTGGATGACAGTCCCTGGCCAGGTAAATAAAGTCTTTTGTTTGAATTCAGACTTAGAGTGTTTCTGAGGCTGCTTGGTCACTTCCCTTTTAGGGGAAGATGATCTTTTCATCTACAGGTTTTCAGAAGAAAAGGGAATGCTCTTGGGGAGCTGTATCTAAGGAACTGCACTGAGATGCCTCATGCATACCTGGACCAGCTATCATGATGTGGGGACACTCAAGTATCCCAAAGAGAATCTTTGTGCCCCGGAATGGCTGACCTCCTGCCAACATGCACCCTCCCTTGAAAGGGAATTCTTCAGCCTTAGTCAAGCGTTCACATGACAACTGAATGCAGCCTCTGAATGCAGCCTCCCGAGTAACCCAAAGCCAGCTCCCAACTTTCAGCGATTCCCCAAAACTGAGTAAGATAATAAATATTTATTATTTAAGCCACTAAGTTTTAGAGTAACTGGCTATGCACTAATAGATCACAAAGATGAAGTATTCTCAGGGCTATTTGGTCTAATCCTTCCAATGAGCCCAGGAGGGACATCAGGAATGTCGCATACTCAAGCCATCAATCCTTTCATTATAAAAGGGACAAAAAATGTGACTTTTATTACCTTCTAGAAGTCAGCAAACTTTTTTGGAAGGTACCAGAGAGTAACTATTTTAGACTTTGAGAGACATTCTGTCCCTTTGATAACTACTGAACTCTGTGGGTGGCCTGAAAGCAGCCTCAAAGAACACAGAAACTAGAGAGTATGGCTGTGCACTTATAACAAAAACAAAACAGGCCAGATTTGGTTTTGCCAGAGAGCTATAGTTTGCTCGCACCTGCTCAATAACCAAGTCATCTCTTTCAGTCATCACTGCTCCTGTTGGGAAATGCTGTCATCTAGTAAGTTTCAGCTTTTCTCGGTCATTTCAGGTTTAAACTCAGTCATCTTGAGTCTTCTGTCCTTCTCACTTCTCTTCTACCTGGAATGGTCTCTCTGATCTCAGGACACTTCTCTAGCGTCATAGCACTGAGAGCAGCCAGAGGACCGAGGACCAGTATCCCAGAAGCTAGCTGTCTTCTCTGCTAGCTTCTATTGAAATGACATTTTCATCCCTCCCTCCCTCCCTCCCTCCCTCTTACCCTATCCCTCCCCTCTCCCTCTTCCTTCCTTCCTTCTCAGTACCAGGGGTCAAACTCAGGGCCTCAATGCATGCTAGGCAAATGCTCTACCACTGAGTTACATCCCCACCCCTTTCTATCTTATTTTGAGATAGGGTCTTGCTAAGTTGCTGAGGCTGGCCTCAAATTTGCTATCCTCCTATCTTAGCCTCCCCAGTAGCTAAGGTTACAGGCATGCACTGCTATGCCTAGCAAGATACCTCCATCTTGCTGACCTTTGTCAGGTACCCTGACTCTCCCTCCTGTGAGCTGTGAGACCCCTTAGGACCTGCCAGCATCTCTCAGTTCTGCCCTTTTTGGACACAAAAATTCCAACACTCTTCCATGCCTGGTGGTCATAGCATAAAATAGACACACTGTGGGGCTGGGGTTATAACTCAGTGGCAGAGCACTTGCCTCGCACTTGTGAGGTACTGGGTTTGATCCTCAGCACCACATAAAAAATAAATAAGTAAAATAAATAAAGTAAAAAAAAAATAGACACACTGTGATTGTCACCCTAAGCCTAGGGCTTCCTGCAGAAGCTATACTGAGAAGTGAGGCCAAGTGTCCTCTACTCTGGATCCCCAAATCAATCTAAGGGTTCTCTCTCTCTCTCTCTCTCTCTCTCTCTCTCTCTCTCTCTCTTTCCAACTCCACATGTCTACCTCCAGCAAAGGCTCAAGGACAGAGCCCACCATCTTAGCTCTCCCCTCCTCACTCAAATCTCCCAGCCCAGAGTTTGCTGCTGTTTCTCTTTGTTGTGTTTTTTCAATATCCTTTCTCAATTAGCTTCTGAGATTCTTCCAGTCTTCAGATACTTGAACCCAAGAAACAGAAGAAATACAGTTTGTATCTTGTTCCTTTCTTTGTCCCTTCCTTTGAAGCTATAGGGAGAAGACCTAGATTGAAGACAGATAAAAAGGAGAGGCTGCATGCAGAGAATTCAGAACAGTACCGCAAAATCATGCTCAAAATCTACTTGCTCAACAAGTAGGTATTACTAGTAGTATTATTAAACTATAGATAGATAGATAGATAGATAGTTGTAGATGGACACAATGGTTATTTACTTCTTTTTATGAGGACGGAGCCTAGTGCCTCACACATGCTAGGCAGTTGCTCTACCACTGAACTACAACCCTAGCCCCTAATATTATTATTATTCTCATTTTATGAATAAGGAAACTGAGGCCTGGAAAGATTAAGAAGCTGGAGTTCTTGGCACAAAGCGCTGGATTTAGAACCAGAAGCCAAGACTGGAACTTGGGCATCCCTGGCTGTTGGTGGTGTCCCAACTCTCCCTTCCTCTTCCTAACCTCAGCACTGTTCAGTGGTCAGGTGGACTCAGGCTCCTTGAGCTCCTGCCATACAACTCTAATCCCACCCAGTATTGTACCCTGGAAGAATCGAATGCCTCCTCCTTCATGAGTCTTGGCAATCTCTCCCAGACCTCCCTCACTGCAACTGAGATTCTGGTCCTTAGCTCCACCCTTGTTTGGCTGCATGACCTGGGCCCTCCCTGGGTCTCAATTTTCTCATCTGTAAACTGCGGATTATAACAGTAATTCAGTACATGGTCACTGAGGGACTACTCTGGCAGGCAATGAGCTGGAGGATGAGGTTATACAAGAGACTAATACTGAAGGCATTCAGTGATGAAAGCTGCCCAGTGGTGCAGGATTTGTCCTGCTAGTAGAGGCTTCTCAGGGGGTTTCTCTTTGATCAATGAGTGCTTTTGTCCCTAAAGGATGTGCTGATAGGTACTTTCTTGTTTCATCAGGCTGCTGGGGCCCCAGAACAGTTGGCAAAGCAGTTGGTCTCTTTGCCTCCTATTTTTAGGTGGGGAAATTGGTAGGGTAAATGTGGTGGGGCCCAGGCTGTCTGGAAGATTGGGAGTCTTGCATGCAGCAAGTTGTCAGGGGTGGGGGACATTGGCAGATGTTCCCTCTCAGGAACAGATGAGAAAATTCCTACTCATGCCTGATAATGGAAGTCAAAGGCTACCTCCTCCGTGTGTCTTCCTTGATTTCCACATAAAACACACACCTCAAAGATAACTTAATGGTCCCCCCTTTGGGCTTCTCCCAGCCCTTGCTTGTTCTTCCATACCAAGAGATACCGAAAAATAGGAGCCTCATCTGATGCAGATAAAGTTTCTCCTATAAGCCCCCATCCTAACATGAAATGTTAGAAATTAGGTGTCCAGGGGCTGGGGATGTAGGAAACTTGCCTAGAATGCGGGAGGGCCTGGAGTCCATCTACCCGCGCCCCCCCCCCCAAAAAAAAATCAACTTAAGAATCTGGACTTCGGAGTCACTCATATAGCTGAAATCTCCCTCTTGGCCCCTTTCTAGCAAAATAGCCCTGAGCAAGTTATTTCTGTAAATTTGTTTCCTCCTCTGTAAAAATGAATGATTACCATGCCTGCCTCCCCAGAATTAAAGGCTTTTTTTGTTTGTTTTGTCTTGTTTTGGTTTTTTTCTCAAAAACCAGCACACAGCGCCTTTTAGAGGGGTAAAAGAGATCTCTTGAAGCTCCAGACCTAGAGGGGCTGGCTGCATGCCCCCAAGGCTCTGCTTATCCTTTTGCTATCACAGGCAGGGTATACGTGGTGGCGGAAGAGGTGGCACGGTGTGAGCCTCTGGATACCCAGAGACCCAGAACCAGCCCGAGGTCAAATCACTGAGAGAGAAAGCGGCCAAGGTGGGCTGGAAGACAGGTCTGTAACTCAGCGCAGCCGCTTTCCACTGCCTTTGCTGCCGACGCACGGACCCCGCCCTCCTTCTTCAGTATTTTCCTTCTCTCTGCTCCTCGCCCCCGCTAATTCTCCTCCTCTAATTCTGTGGCTTCCCCATATGGGAGGCGGGATCTCCAAGCAGGAGATGGGATGTCAGATCCCCCAGCCTAAAGCTAGGGAAATGGGCCTTCAGACCAGGGATCTGGCTCTGCCTCACAGTGGGTGAAGACGTCAGGGTCTCCAGGAGAACCCCCGGAGTCCCCGGAAATGGGGGCGGAGTCTGGGGACCCCTAAAGGGGGGAGGGGTCTCGTAGACTTTCAAGGAGTCCCTGCGCCAGCTGAGAGCGCGAGGGAGTCCCTCAGACAGCGGTGGGCGGGGCTTTCCTGTGCCCTGGTTGGTGCCCGGGGCGTGGTCTCCAGAGGGGGCGTGTTCTCCTGGTAAGGGGCGTTGCTCTGCCGACCAAGGGAAAGCTAGGCCTCAAGGGGCGGAGCCTTAGACAAGGCGGGGCTTCTGTGGGCGGAGCCAACTGGGCGGGGCCTCAATCCAGGGGGCGGAGTGTGCCAATTCGTGCTCGTCCCCTCCCCGCGGCCCCGGGTGTCCCCGTGACGAGGCAGCGCAGAGCCGCCGCGGGCCGGGCCCATCCCGCCGCAGCGGCCCCGGGGCCGAGCAGGGACGAGGCGGGGAGGGAGCAGCCCAGAGCGGGGCCCGGAGAGCGGCCAGGTGAGGCCGCCAGGGCTGAGGGGGCGGGGGCTGCGCCGGGCGGGCGCGGGGGGCGTGTTTGCGTGTCTGGGTGACGGGGGAGTGGGTCTGAGGCCGCCGCCTGTGGCTGTTTGCGCGTCTTCTTGTCCCTGCAGTCGCGGGTCCGGGCTGGGCTCTGCGCCCGTCCGGGCTCTGCCCGTGGCCCCCGGGTGTGCAGGACTGTGCACGCACGCGTGTTTATGTGGAGGGGCCGCTGGCTGTGTATCTGCGTATGCTCTGGGCCGTCATTGTGCCCGCCCGGGGCGCCGGGCACCGGCCTGCCCCAGCGCAGTCCCTACAGCATAGGGATGTTTTCCAAACTGGCTGCCTGCGGGAGACAGCTCTGCTGCAGCCTGAGCCAGAGGGGGGAGCGCCGCCCCCACAGGCCTCCAGAGACCCAGAGGCCTGGGGGACCGCTGACACCTGAGGGAGGGTGGGGGTGCGCACCCAGGAGAGTCGAGAGGCCTGCCCTCAGGGCGAGGTCAAGATGGAGAGACTGAGGCAGATGGATGGTGAGGTGGAAGTAGGCAACAGGAGGAGGGGGGAGGAGGGTGGGAAGAGAAATGGGGGGGAAGGACAGTGCTGGGAGGACAGAGAGTCATTGAGAAACAGACAGACGGACAGAGGCCTAGACATGCAAAGAGGCAGAAAGATTATGATGGATAGATGGGTGCAAAGAACCTGACAGAGGGTAACTCAGAGGTCCTGGGGCTAAAATCTCAAGCCAGGAATTGAGTCTTAGACCAAGTTAAGACCCCCAAGTCCTGGGTTGCCCTTCTTCCAAGAACAGCCCAGACTGGGATCTTGGCCACCAACCAAGTTGTTCCATTTCTCTGGCCCCACCAAATATGCGGGACCTCTAACTCTGCCACCTCCCCCTCTTGTTTCCATTCTGCACATCTCCCTCCCTGGTGTCCCAGCAGCCCTTGGCAGTTTAGGGGAGGCAGAGGAGAATCATTGCCATAACAATAGATGTGTGAAAGGTCACTCTGCCTTAGCCTAGGTGGCTTGCAGCAGACTGGAGCTGGGATTGAGGGGGACTGGGGTGGGAAGCTTCAAAGCTCTCTTCTTCTCTCTCACTCTGCCCAGAATGGTGCTGGAAGGAAACCCTGAAGTGGGGACCCCCCGAACCTCAGACCTCCAGCACCCCGGGAACAAGGGCTCTTGCATCCTTTCTTCCAGTGAAGATGCACAGCCGGGCGAGGAGCCCATCAAGTATGGCGAACTCATCGTCCTGGGGTGAGCCTCCCTGATCCAGGAGGGATGGGCACCTAGCAGCCAGAGGGAGGGCCCCAGCTCCCAATAAGTAGGGCCTTCTGCTGTTTTCCCTTGTTTCCTTCCCAGCTGATAGACAAAATTGACTAAACTTACCTCAATTCATAGATATTATTTTATCTTCCTGTTTTCACAAATTCCTGAGACAGCCCACCCAAGTTTCTGATCATATGAGAAAAAGTAACAACTGCTGCCTTCTGCAAAGCACCTATGATGTGTTGTGTGGGGCAAAGAACTCTGGTTCTGCAACAAAACTGCTTGATTCCAATTCTGCCTCTGCAAGTTGCTGAACTCCCTGTGCCTCCATTTCCCATTCCCATTTTACAAACAGGGATGATAATATTCCCTGCCTCAGAGGGTTGTCAGAAGCAAGCAAGGAAAGAAGGAAGGAAGGAAAGAGATGATTTTGTTAAGTATGTAGAACGTGCCCGGCACGTATCAAGTGATCTGGGAGGCAGGCCTGTGCCAAGCCCTTTCATGGACATTATTTCATTTCAATCTTCACAAAGATGCTGTGAGGAAGGAGGTGAGGAAACCGAGGCTCAGAGAGGGGAAGTGACTGGCCCAAGGGCACACAGCTGGTAAGTGGCAGGGCTGGGATTTGGACCCAGGTCTTTCTTACTCTAGGTCTAGTGGACTGTCACTAAGCTACAGCTCACCCTCAAGCTACAGATGGGAAAACTGAAGCCAGGAGAGAGAAAGCAACTGGAATTGGTGGCTGGACAGACCTCATCTTTTTTTTTTTTTTTTTCCCCCTGGTTTTGGCCTGACCTGAATTCCTGCACCTCCTTCTCAGCTCTGCCCTAGGCACAGATCCCTCTTTTTCCGCCCCAATCCATGTCTCCTTTTGGCCTCTCTGTGTCATCAGTCCAGAAGAAACTACTTAATAAGCTTTAACCTCATGATGATGATTATTAAGGAATAATAATGACTATTGCTTGTTGACACATATGTATAATGGGCTTTTTTTCCCTTAAGAACAATAACAGCTAACAGTTATCAAGAGCTTGTTTTCTATGCCAAATTCTGTGCCAAGAATTTTCAAATGTTTTCAAACCTCATTTAGTTTTTAAAATGAAACTACAAGGTAGGTTCTGAAAAATGGGCCCCATTAACCAGGCCCGCCTGAATCCTGAACCTGGGTCCTAAACCACCACTGTCTAGACCACCCCTGACCCCATGGGAAGAACTCCAAAGGGCAAAAGCAACGCCCCTCTTAGGGTGCTTGCATGAGCATAACAGCTCTTCATGTCCCCAGGAAAGGCCTGGTTTTCCATCTGAGGGCAAGGCCACTGATGGGGGAAAATGTAGACCAATGAGATGGGCCCGTACCAGCCATCTATTCTCTGCAAAGCAGAGAAGCCCCACACTGGCTGTGCATCAGAGCCACTGGAAAGTGCATTGAAAACACACATTGACAGGCCCACCTTGTCAGAATCAGAATCAGAATCTCCATAGGTAGGGCCAGAGAATCTGGACTTTAAAAAACTCACCAGGAGATTCTGATTCAAGTGGTCCTTGTCTGTATATGGCAGCTAATCACCCATCACTTCCTGCTGTATATGGCAGCTAATTGCCCATGACTGCCTTCAGAAATATAATTCTTAGCCTAGTGTTCAGAAATATAATTCTTACCCTTCTACCAACTTCATCGTCCCCTGATAACACTTTACAACCCAAATGACCAATCCCTGATCTCACAAACCCTGCCAGCCTTGGGGCCTTGGCTTATATTGAGCCCTTCATCTAGAAGGACATCTGCGAGTCTGGAGTCGGGCAGACCTGACCTCAAATCTGGACTTTTTAACTTATAGGCTGAGGCAAGTCACTCTACCTCCCTGAGCCTCCAGTTCTCTTATTCATAAAATGGAAAGAAAGACACTTGCCTGGCAGGACAATGCACAAATTCCATTAGGTAATTAAGAACGTGAAGGGCCAGGAACACAGAGGTAGCAGTACATGGCAGCCATCAAGGGTCTGACTCACTCCATCTTTGCTTCTCACCATCATTTCCCCTGGACAAGAGCTGCAAAGGAAGGTGGCAACTTGACATGGATGGAGATATGGAGGTAGTAGCGTTGTGGATCCATTCATCTCCTCCATTTGTTTTCTAGTAGTGGTGTAATAAGTTATAGTTTGCTACAGGTGAATCCTTTCCAGTTCTTCATGGCCTTATGTAGGTGTTCTTTCTCTCCAAAAACCTGATCCTGGGGGCCAGAATTTCCTTCTGCCTTTGGACCTGGGTACGCTTGGCTTGGGCCCAGAGGCATGTTGTCATGGCAGTTGATGCCTGGGTCCTTGAGAAGCTGGGGACCCCTCCACTGACAGCACAAAACTGATCATTGGATATATCATTTCTACAACCCCAGCATCCAGCACCTGTCCAGGCACGGCTCAGGCATCCAGGAACACTTGGTTAATTGAATGCAAGACACCCCCCACAACACACCTAACATGCCAATCTGCTGCTGTAGGGTCTTCTAGCTTTTGTTGCTTCCAGATCTTGTTTATGATGGTAGGACCTGCCTGGAGCTGGCAGTTTTCTTCAAGTCTTGCCAGGGGCTCACTTTCTCTTTCTTTCTCTCCTCCTACAACCCTTTCTTCTTAATCCCCACAACCACAGCTACAATGGGTGTCTGGCAAGTGGGGACAAGGGTCGTCGGCGAAGCCGCCTTGCACTGAGTCGCCGGCCACATGCCAATGGAGTGAAGCCAGATGTCATGCACCACATCTCTACACCCCTCGTCTCCAAGGCAAGCAGTTTATCCCAGCACCCTGTCCCAGGCCCAGGTCTTGGCCTGCCCACAGCCCCTGTGGAGCAGGGCAGTGCACTGTGCTGTCACTCACAGCCTAGTGGCTACCAGAGAAATGATGATGGTGGGCAATCCTTTGTAGTGTGCACAGGACTTTACAGTTTGCAAAATGTTTCCTTGACCACCAGACCTCATTCACTGGATGGAAAGGATCATTTTAGAGGAAGCCAAGGCTCCTAGAGTGGGATGTGATGGTTACACAACAGTAGCAAAGGGAAAGACTTGGCCCTGGAGGATGGGGTAGAAGTCAGCTCTGCTCGTTCCAGCTGTGCAGAACCAGGTCACTTCTCCCTGAGCTGCAGCTCCCTCAGCTGTAAAATGGGAATCATAGTCCATCCTTGGGGTGGCTGCAGGAGCACCTGCTGAGCGGTCCCCTTGGCACAGGACGCAGCTCCCTTCCTCAGGGATCACTGCCAGGCCCTGAGCTCATTTCTGGCTCAGAAGGTTATATCTCTCATGGCCACATGCCCTGGGAGGTGACTTCTTTCTCCCTACCAGGCACTGAGTAACCGAGGCCAGCACAGCATCTCATACACACTGTCCCGGAGCCACTCAGTTATAGTGGAGTACACGCATGACAGCGACACAGACATGTTCCAGGTATGCTCAACCCCTCCACCAGCCTCCTGGCCTCTGAGCTCTGCAGGCATTCCAAGGTGAGGCCACAGGGCTAAAGGCCATGGGAAGGTGCCTTGTGGGTGGAGGGGTACAAGGCAGTGTTCTGTACTATGAAGAAGCAGGATGTCCTGGCAGGGGTTACCGGCTCTGCACTGGCATAGCAAGGCAGCTGCCATGTCAAGACACAGATATGTGATGCCCAGAGTGGGGCCCATTTGGCTTCCGAGTCCAGAGGGCAGGTGGGCAGGTGTGAGAGTCCTCATGCCTGGGTTCAGATGCCAGCTCCGTCACTCGCCACGGGATGACTTTGGGCGAGAGTCCTTTAACCTCCTGGGTCTTGCTCTCCCCAACTGTAAGTGGTACTGATAATAACACTGAGGTATTCCACATAGAATACTTAGCTTAGAGTCAATTCTTACTAAAAAGTCATTATTTGTTGTGAATATTGAAGCCCTTCCATACCAGAGGTGTCACTTTTCCACTGTTTTATAAGCCGACCAACTAGCTTTTATTGAGTGTGGGAGGGGGGAGGCAGAGAAGGAGAAGCTTCAAGCCATATCCAGTTGGACGTGGAGACCCTATCTGGGAGCCCGGAGTCCCCTCCTCTTTGTCTGGCAGCCTCGTTGTGTGGTGGCCTTGCACACAGAGCAGCTGCTGGGACGCTGGGGAGGGAAGCTGTGAGTCCAGCTGTGCGCGTGTAACCCCTGTGCTTGCCTTCCCCTCCCTTGCAGATTGGCCGCTCCACAGAGAACATGATAGACTTTGTGGTAACAGACACATCCCCTGGAGGAGGGGCTGCAGAGGGCCCTTCTGCCCAGAGCACCATCTCCCGCTATGCCTGCCGCATCCTCTGTGACCGCAGGCCACCCTATACTGCCCGCATCTATGCTGCTGGCTTTGATGCCTCCAGCAACATCTTCCTTGGAGTGAGTGACCCCCAGGCAGGGACAGCTCTTCATTAGAGAGTGAACTAAGGGGAGGCTGGGGAGGTGCCGTGCCCTGGAGTGATGGACCCGCCCACAGTCATCCTAACCATGACCCAGGTAGGGCTTACAACCCCACTCCATAGACAGCAGCCTGAGGTTGGGGAGATCAGGTGGTGCCCAAGTCATGCGGGCCTGTCTGGGTTACCTCTGAACTTGGGGTACAGACGTAGCCCCTCTGGTACACAGCCAGCTGGGAATACCCAGGGATGTGATCGGATCCCTCATGTGGTCCCAGGAGCGGGCAGCCAAATGGCGGACCCCCGATGGCCTGATGGATGGCCTGACCACCAATGGGGTCCTGGTGATGCACCCTGCGGGAGGCTTCTCAGAAGACTCGGCCCCAGGTGTCTGGCGGGAGATCTCCGTCTGCGGGAATGTGTACACACTGCGAGACAGTCGCTCAGCCCAGCAGCGGGGGAAGCTGGTAGGTGGCCCACTCCATCTCCCCCACAGCCCTTCCCAGGCCTGCATAATCTGCCCATCCCCCTGCCCAAGGTGAAAGATGACTTGCTGTCCTCACGCCTGAGGGAGCCCCAGTGGGCTCCATCTAGAACCCCAGGAGTTCTTGGCGCATGCCACTTGTCCCACGGGCAGGAGCAGACCAGCATCCCCAGGTGTAGCCTGCGCAGTGCTGAAGATCCCTGGGGTGATAAGAAGTGGAGCTGCACAGAGACACTGTGCACTACCAAGAGCAGCGAGGCTGCCAGCAGCTTAAAAAAATCACACCCTCTTAGGAGGGTGACACTTGGCCCATGTGTGAGCAGTTTATAGCCTAGAGTGTTGGCAGTTTGTAGTGTGTCTGTCCCGTACAAACAGGTTTCGCTTTATTATCCTCTCCCAGCGGGAAACGGCCATTGGAGTAGTTCTGATAGTGCTGGCCACGTGGAAGTACCACGTGGCACAGAGCAGAGAAAGAAGGTTCAGAGCTGGGAGTGAGTCCTAGAGAGAGGTAGCATGTGGCCACTCAGGGCTCTTCCTAGGTTTCAGCATGCTGGCCAAGGAGATGAAGACCTCAGGGGAAAGCAGGGCTAATCTAGAGATGCTACTGGGAGGGTTGGAAGCATCTTTTGTGTGTGTGTGTGTGGTGCTGGGGATTGAACCCATGGCCTTGTGCTTGTGGGGCAAACTATATCCCCAGCCCGATAAGCGTCATTTTTAAAATCTATGCACACAAACTATCCAGACACTTGTTGAGCTGTGTGCCAAGCTCTGGTCCAAGTACTTACGTTGATCAATTCATTTAATCTTCATGAGACCCACTTGAGATGGGGACCTGGAACCCACCTTGAGGATAAGGAGACTGAGACACAGAGAAGTTAAGCTACTCTCCTAAGAATACAGAGTTATTGAACCACGAGGTCACTCCAGAGTCCTTGCTGTTAACCATGACCCTGGGACAGCCGATTTGGCCTCAGTAGTAGCATTCTGCACAAGAGGTGTTTTCTGCCTCTGCCATTATGGGACGGCTTTGGAAAAACCCTGTTTGTGTCCCGACCTCCTGGTTTGACCAGTGAGGACACCAAAGCCTATGCTGAGAGTGAGGGACAGCGAGTGCCCAGGGAGCCTCTGTCTGCCTTCCCACTCCCACATGACCTCCCAGCCTGCCCTGCTGACCCAGCGTGCCCTATCCAGAGAGTGTCAGTGGGATAGACAGAGGGCTTGTCTGGGGTGAGGCTGCCTGATGGTGGGCTGGGGCCTCTTAGGCTAAGGCCCTTCTGCTGCCTCTGGCAGGTGGAAAATGAATCCAACGTGCTGCAAGACGGCTCGCTCATCGACCTGTGTGGGGCCACACTGCTGTGGCGCACTCCGGCAGGGCTGCTGCGGGCACCCACGCTGAAGCAGCTGGAGGCCCAGCGGCAGGAGGCCAATGCAGCACGGCCCCAGTGCCCAGTGGGCCTCAGCACCCTGGCCTTCCCCAGTCCAGCCCGCGGTCGCACAGCGCCTGACAAGCAGCAGCCCTGGGTCTACGTCCGCTGCGGTCATGTCCACGGCTACCACGGCTGGGGCTGCCGGCGGGAACGGGGCCCCCAGGAGCGCGAGTGTCCTCTCTGCCGCCTCGTGGGGCCCTATGTGCCCCTGTGGCTTGGCCAGGAGGCTGGCCTCTGCCTGGACCCTGGGCCGCCCAGCCACGCCTTTGCACCCTGCGGCCACGTCTGCTCTGAGAAGACTGCCCGCTACTGGGCCCAGACGCCGCTACCGCACGGCACCCATGCTTTCCATGCCGCCTGCCCCTTTTGTGGGGCCTGGCTTACGGGTGAACATGGCTGCGTCCGTCTCATTTTCCAGGGGCCACTGGACTAAGCTCCTGGGGCCTCTGCTGCCGTGCCCGCCTGCCCACCCAGGTCTCCCACCCCCTGCAGCCCAGATGGAGCTCTGCATGTGGGACTCTACCTGTTGGCACATTGCTCACTGGCTGGACACACTGGATGGGCTGTGACCCTCCCCTGAGCTCTGGTCCCCAAGGAGGTCCCCAAGATCTCTACCCTAGTCATACTGATGAGGGCTTTAGCACCAGTGCTGTTCCAGGCTGATGGAGGGAGTCAGCCCCATGCCCCTGCCCTTCCAGGGGCATCCCACATCATGCCGCCTGCACTGTGCCCTTGGGGGAGTGAAGGAGCTGTGGTTCCTGACCCTCAGCTTAGGCTGGCTGTGCCCTGAGCCTGCCAAGTCAGTAGCAGGTATCTGTCCTTCCTGATGCTGCCCCGCCGGGTTCCCCTATAAACCTCGCTACTCAGCTGCCCTGACAAATCCACGTGTCCCGCGTGCACGCAGTGCCTCCAGCCCTGAGCGAGTACTAGGTGGGCAGTGGGCTGGAGCTGGCATGTGCTGATGCCCACCACAGGCTACAGTCTGTGCCAGGTGGCTCTGGGGATGCAGAGATAATCATGTTCCCCACCTGGTGGATTCACTAGTGGAGGGTGGACCAAATCACCAAATGACAGAATTCTCAGGGCTGGGGAAGAGTCACTGCTGGCCACAGGAAAGTGAATGAGGCAAGGGAACTCAGCCTCCATGGTGGCTTGGACTCCTCCAGGCCAATAGGATGGGGAGGGTGCTGCACATTCTGTGCAGCCTAGGGGTAGGGAAACAGAGTGACAGATTCTAGGGGCTGGAGCATGGACTGCAGGGGGCAGAAGGGGGTAGAGCAGAGATGGGGCCAGGCTGATGGGAAGACGCTGGATGGAGGATTTGGATCCATATTTGTGGACAGCCAGGAGTCAACAAAGCAGGGAGAGGATTCTCGGCTCCAGAGCATTGGCTCTGACACAAGGGCTACTATCACTGAGTGCCCACGTGTGCCCCACACTGTGCTAACCATAATAACAACTGCGATCATTGAGCACTCATCAGGCACCAGGCTCTGCTTCTCGGAGGTTTTGTTGTTTAATCTTCACACTAACCCAGGGAGGGAGGTTATTACCCTTTGCGTTCACAGGGAGATGAAGGCACAAACTCCAAGTCACATAGCTAGAAAGTGGCCAAGCCAGGACTTGAACCCAGAGCCGTCCATTGGGGCAGAGGCTGCTCCTCTCCCTGACACTGTGGCTTTGCTTCAGTGAGTGGGGCTAAACTGAATGTGGTTTTCAAGTCTGTCCCATCAAATGGCTGGAGAAGGGGTCAGTGGACATCCACTGTCCATGGCCCAGCCCCATGCAGGGTCCCAGCAATGAGCAAGGCCCTTCCTTCCCAGCTCCCTGCCTGAGGAGAGACCTGCCCAGGCTGGTGTCAGAAGCTGGTAACCACAACCTGCTGGCCACCTGCACCCCAGGCCGATACAGTGGGCCATCAGCCAGGCTGGGGTGTTCTGAGCAAGAACTGAAGGCTTCTGAGAAGGTACAGGGAGTCTCTCCAGAGGAAGGGCAGAGTTGGGAGGGCAGCTCAGGTGAAGGGAGCAGCATAGCAGGACAGGGAAAATGCTTGGTGACCAATGAGCATGGTGTTCAGGGGGGCAGGAAAGAGGGATGGGGCTTTGGGTATCTGGACTAGGGTCTGGTGAGCCCTGGTGGCCGTGTCTGAGCTGGACTCTTTATGCATCCTTAGCACGGGTCACCTATTCTTGTGAACCAAGGGTCGAGCTGGGGGTGTTGCTAGGGTTGCCCCCTGACCAACCAGGAAGTCAGGTAGAAGGACATTCTGGAGATATGAAAAAAGAAGGTTTTGAGTGCAGGCAGGACCTGGGTATCATCCCCAGTGCAGTAGAGAGTCCAGAGCTTTAGGAGTGCAGATTCTTGGTGGTGCACACCTGTAATCCCAACAACTCAGGAGGCTAAGGCAGGAAGATCTCAAGTTTGAGGCCACCCTGGGCAACTTAGCAAGACCTTGTCTCAAAAAATAAGAGCTGCTAAGGATGTAGCTCAGTGGTGGAGAGGCCTTGGGTTCAGTCCCCAGAACTGCAAAAAGGAGGAGTGCAATTTCCCCTGGAGGGAACTTCTCAGGGCTACACTGCTCGCTAGGACCAGAGAGACCAGACCTGGGCTAATAAGAGGACAGAGGGCATGCTTGCATGGTGAGAGGAGGGAGATGTGACTGCATCCTTGTTTCCTTGCTAAGTAATGCTTAGTTACCATGGGATGGAGAGCAGATAAGGACGCTGGAGTGGGTGTGGGAGCATTTCAAACCACCCTACAGCAGTAGAAACACAATTCTCCCCAGTTGTTCCCTCTTCTGACCCTGTTGGGAACCAGGAAAGGGAAAAATCTGATTCTATTTTTGGTGGGGAGTCTCAAACTCTGGGAGGGAGAAAAGCTAGGGGCACTACCCTCGGTGCTGGGGAGAACTTGTAGTATTGGTGGGAGGGGTCAGATGGCCCGGAACTTGCCCCAGCTATGCCCTTTGCCAGATCTTGGAGCCTCATTTAAATAGGATGACAGTCCCTTCCTCATCAAGTGGCTGTGAATGTCTGAAAGGCACTGGTGCTACAGTACATACTTAACACTGCTTCCTCTCCTATCCCTTTGACATTCTCCAGGGGAAGGGCCAAGGCAGGGGATGAGCATGACTCCAGTGAGTAGACAGTTCTGTGTGAGTGTATGCATGTGTTTTGGGGACAGGTGGAAGGGACAGTGTGGTGGAAGGTCTGAATAAGACTAGGCCCTAGTTCAGGGATTCCTGAAAATATCTGTATGGCCTTAGGAAAGTCAATGAACCCCTTAGCCTCAGTCTTTCCATCTGTGCAGTGGGTAAAGTAGTATCCTATCTCAGGGGTTTTGCAAGAATTAAATGAGATTCTCCATGGCAAGCAACTGACAAAAGACCTCAGTTAAGCGCTTCCATTAACCACAATCATACAAATGGGAATTTTAAAGCTTGGTTGAGGGTCCTGTGTACCCGGCTCTTTAGCTTGCCTGAGCCCCCTGGTGGCCATGGACCACTTTACCTCCTATGTACATTCGACTTCACCTGAATCAATCCATTTTATAATCATTTTAAAAACAATGAGAATTGAGACCTGTGACTTTCCTATAGAAAAGATGACTTTCCTATAGAAAAGATGACTTTCCTATTGAGCTCCTCCTTATAATGGCAATTGTCATCAGAGCCAATAGCTAGCAGCACTGTCGTGCCAAGCAGAGCCTTGTGCATCTTTGTAAATGAGAAACTTGGCTCCTGTGATGGGCAGTTGCTGCTCTCAGCCTAGAAGCAGGTATCTCAAGGAGAGAGTACCAGATTTCAGTCCCCCAAACACCCCTATTTGCATGCAAACAACTCTAGGGGGCAGTACTGCCCAGTCGGCATTCACTGAAGCCTACAACATCCTAGAAGTGGTTTTTCAGTTAGCCCAGTTTTCCAGCTGATGAAGCCACAACTTGGTGAGGTAAAGTGACCCACCTAAGGTCACAGAACCCTTAGGTGATAGAAACCGGATTTGACCTTAGGCCACCTGACTCCACCCCCCAGTCTGCCCCGCCCCCCCCAGCCGGTCACCATGCTCCCCACTTGGCCTAAGTCCAGCCCCAGGCACTTCTACATTCATGCCCCACCCAGGCCCTAGCTCCTGATACGTAAGAGTGGACTTCCCACCGCCTCTGCACTGGGCTGCCTTCCGGGGTCACTGGAAGCTTTCTCATCTAGCGGGCACCGGGCAAGCACCAAGAAACCACCAGCCCCTTTCCGCCCTCGCCCTTTTGTGTTGAGGAAACCGTGACTTGGAAATGTTTAGCGGCTCCCTCCAGGCCCACGCCGGTGTGTGGCGGTGCAGTGAAGCACTGGGGAGCGTTCTCCGCGCCCCTGCGCTGGCAGGACCACCTGGGCGATTCCCCGGACCGAGAGTTCTGCTGTCTCCAAAGAGTCTCCCCGCCAGATCCCCGAGTCCAATGAGGACCGGGGAGCCACATTACTCCCAGTGGGCAGGTTTCCACCTGCAAAACTGAGGTCGGGGGACGAAGGCGAAACCCCAAAGGGTGGGGTCCTGGTTGTGTGTGAGGTGAGGACCCTGATGCTCTGTCCATGACACTCACGCTAGCCCCGCCCGGGCTCGGGGACCCTGTCTGCACGGACCAGGCCGCGGCCAGGCGGGGCACCGAAATGCTCAGCTCCTGCGCAAGCTTGGCCCACGGACAAAAGGCCAAGGCCGCAGGGCCAAGCCGCAAGACACCCTAGAGCCTGGGCGGGTGCGGGTGAGGGGAGCAGGCCGAAGGGGCTTGCCTCGGCGCGCCTATTGGCTGGTGCCGCCGCCCATCTTGACTCCGGGGCCAGAGAATTGGCTCGCAGGGGCGGGGTTTGCGGAGCTCCAATGAATGGGGGAGCCGGAAGCAGGAAGTGAGTTTGCGAACCGCGCAGTGCTGCAGGTGAGGAGCTGTGCGGGTTTCGGGGTCACGGTGTGTTATCCTCCGGGGACCTGAGCCAGGCTGGGTCGAGAGTAGGATCACTCCCTTTCTGCCCACCTTTCATTTACGCCTTCCAAATCCATTCCGGTCCCTAGGCCAAGGAAAGTCCCGGGAAGCAAAGAGTTAACATCTCTTTTGGAACCCGCGGGACGTGCTATTGGGGCGGAGCCTCGTGAGTGGGGTGGGGGGGGGCTAGAAACTCATTCTCAGTCGGGGAGGGGGTAGTGGAGAATGCCTTGGGCTGGGAGACCCCCAGATCCCAACGGGGCTGTGAGACCTTTGGTAAGTTGTTTGGCCGCGCCAGATTTCAGTTTTCCCATATATACAATGGGTTCTGGACGTCTGTGACTTCCCTGGCCGAGCATGTGTCGAGGGAAGAGAACCGAAGTGCTGGGAGCCATGAGGGAGGAAAAGAGTTCGTGGGAAGTCATTGCTCTGTAGGTACATCCTGTCCAAGGCGACCTACCTTATCTAATTTGGGTTGAGGCTGGGGTTATTGTCATCCTCTTTTCAATAGGAGAAAAGAGAGATGCAGAAAAGAAACAATTGGCTGGGATCATGTCGGGCTTGGGATCTGGGGCTTCCAGCTAGAAACCTGGCCCTCTGTCCTTCTGAACAATGGTGGTGGGGGGCGGTAATTATTCTGAACAAGGAGCATAGGTGGTCAGAGAAGGAGAGAAGATAGGGAGGAACCTGGACTGGAAGTCTAGCAATGAGGTTCTCTGATGCTGACCCCTCTGTAGTGTGATTAGGCAAGATTCCTATCCTGTCTGGATTTGTTTCTCCAGCTGTAAACTAGGTGGTTGGATTCAGACTTTGAGGGAACACAGGCTAGGTGTGGCTCAGTATGTATTTTATAATCTCCTTGGGGGAATCACTAACCACTTCTGAGTCTCAGCATATCTCATGAATACTGATCCACTAGTATTCCCTTCCTCCTGAGCTTTTGAGAGGCCAAAAGAACTCATGGGAGTTCAGAGCCAGGTGTGCTATTAGGGTGTGCTGAATGACAGATGTGATGATGGTTCCTTTAGGGCCCATGGCGGATACCCAGTACATCCTGCCCAATGACATCGGCGTATCTAGCCTGGACTGCCGAGAGGCCTTCCACCTGCTGTCACCCACAGAGCGCCTCTATGCCCACCACCTGTCCAGGGCCGCCTGGTACGGAGGCCTGGCTGTGCTGTTGCAGACCTCCCCTGAGGCCCCCTACATCTACACTCTCCTCAGCCGCCTCTTCCGCACCCAGGACCCTGACCAACTGCGCCAACATGCCCTGGCTGAAGGCCTTACCGAGGAGGAATATCAGGTCAGTTCACCCAGGCCAGCCCTAATTTCCTGAGTGGCTTCTGGGTGTGAGGACCCAAGATGCAGGGAGAGGATTAAACCAAATGTTATAAACTCAGGAGCCTCCTCTCCTTGGAACCTCAGTCTTCTCATCTGTTAAAAAAAAAAGTGCAAATGGGTTGCCTGTACCTCTTAATGTTGTAATGAATCACTTAAAACAGTGCCTACTTACCTTGAGTGAGCAGCCATCACTTACCTTGAAGTAGGAAGGAGTCAAGGCTAGAAATTGGGCAGTCTGAGTTCTGAACCAGTTCTGGCAGTGGGTAAAATGTTCTGCCTGTCTTTTGGTTTTTGTTTGTTTATAGATTTATTGGCCAAGTAATACATGGATTCTTAGAGCATTGCAGCAATGCAAAAGGGCCCAGAATAAAACACAAAGATTGCTCTTTCTCTTTCCTCTCCAGAGGTGACCATTGTGGCTGGTGTCTGTGTTTTGCATGCCTATACCTGTATGTGCACAGCTTTCACATCCTTATTTTCTCTTTCACATAAATGAGATCATGCTCTTTGTCACCTTCTGTGTACTGCTTTTTTCATGAATGCTGTGTCTTGGAGAACTTCCATGGGTACATATTAATCCACTTCTTTTTTTTTTTTTCCAGTATTAGGGATTGAACCCAGAGTCTTGTACATGCTAGGCAAGCTGTCTACCATTGAGCTATATCCCTGCCCTTTTAATTTTTTGTTTTGAGATAGTGTCTCTAAGTTACTCAGGCTGGCCTCAAAATTGCTATCCTCCTGCCTTAGCCTTCCAGGTAACTGGGAGTACAGGTGCATACCACTGCACCTGGCTACCTCATTCTTCTATTGGCTTTGAAGCATTCTACAACAGTGTACACTATAATCAATTTAGTCTTTTTTTTAAATTGCTGGACTTTTAGATTGTTCCTGGGTTTTCTTACAAAACAGTGCCATGGTGAGCATTCTTGTGCACATGTGTGAGAAAGATCTATTTCTGGAGGCAGAATTGCGGGGTTGAAGGCTGTGTACATTTATTATCAACTGATTCTGTTAAATTTTCCTTAAAAAGCTTCTCTGAGTTATATTCCAACACTAAGAATGAACAAGAATATAATCTGTTTTTCTATATATTAAATAAAGGGATTGGATTGCTTATCTCTGAACTGAGGTGCTGTTTCTTCTAGCTTTTTTGAACCTTGCATTTCCAGGCTGTGTTCTTCTCATTAAAAGAGCTAGTCTGTGGGTATGTTTATAAATGGGAAGGTGCTACCCAATTGCTACTATTTTTAGTAGGATTCTTTTGTTTGTCAGTAGCAGAAACTCACCTCAAAGTAGCTTCAATGAAAGAATTACTGGTTCGCATAATTGCAAAGTCCAGAGGAAGCTTCAGGTATGGCTATATTCAGGGGCTCAGTGCTACCATCAGGGTGCAGTCTTCATCTCTCAGCTCTGCTTTCTTTCCTCACTCCAGGATTTCCAGGGCTGATAAAAGAGGAAACTGTTCACCAATGGCAAGTTTCCTGGTTAGAGCTTATTGGCCAGCTGAAGCCTTATGCTCATCCTTATAGCCAGAGAAGGTGATTTTTCTGACTGGCCAAGACAGCCTACATACGCACTGGAACTGGGGGAAAGGAGATTCCCCATAAACACCACCAGAAAAAGGAAGATTGAGTTCTTTGTGCTGAGAAAGTGAGACTAGATTGGGGCCAGCAAAGAAACATAGCCTAGAAAGATGTTTGAGGCTACCTGGCTTTGACAATTGATTCTTCCGGTGCCCGCTGCCTGACAGGTTGGAAGCTGAGAATAAGCTTTCTAGAGAAGGAGGTGGTGTTGGGACTGGGCTTTAAATGACATAAAGGCCATAAGTGGCTGAGAGGAAGCAAAGGTGGATGGGTGACTGGGTGTTGTTGAACTTTGGAGACCAGCATGGCTGGACCACAGGGATGTGAAATTGGTCTGTGAAAGTAACTTGGAGCCAGACTGGGGCTCCCCAGGCTCTAGGTCCTGCCCCTAGATTTCCCAGCCTCACCCATGCTGGCTGTACCACATGTGCTTGTCATGTCAGGTCCCAGGCAGGGACTTCCCTACAGTGGGAGGGCTGTGT